GCAATACAGATCTTACTTGAAGTCTGCGTGAAAACAGCCCAGGATCAGGTTAGTTCATATAATGTCGAAATCCAAATAAGCTGAATGCGACTCACAGGTCTCATGCGAGTTGCCCTCTCTACCAGCCCCACAAACTATGAAAGCTGGTGCGCTAAAACGTGAAATTAGGCATTTTTACGTCGCATTCGTGCAGCGACGGCAAAGAAATGAACAAAAAAGGGTGACGCACGTTGTTGTTTTTAAGTTACTAATTCTCATTGCCGTAGTCGTCGTCGTTTCTAAAGCTCCCTAATGAGTTCCTAGCTACTAAAGATGTGACTGAGAGGTTTGGTGGAAGACAAGGACTGAGAAGGGTGGAGCAAGTTTATTGTAGTCTTTCAGACAAGAACAAGTTCTATAATATTGATTTCTCTTTGTTAACAGGATCAACCGGGTTGCAGTGGATCAGCAGTTCTTCGTGAAATTCAGTGCCGAGTCTGTTCACAGCTTCATCAGATATTTATCGCTGTTCCAGACATTGCAAAACTTGTTCATTTTCAGGTACTCGGTGTAGTTGTTGCCTGCACAACACATAACTTGTGAAGCATTTTTAAATGTTTGACTGAACCGAGTGAGTTTTACTTGCGTATTGAAATTCATTTTAGGTTTATGTTGGTTTTGCTTTGAAAGAATTTTTCCTCGGTTATTGTAACCAGGGGTCAATTTAATAATATCTTTACAAGAGCAATTTATAAGTGTAGCTATTGTTTTCAGACCCTACAACAATGGCTACACGGTAAATTACACTTGTTAAAGTTTTGTTGAATTGACCTCAGTTAAGGATTTCTAAAACTAACCAGTTATTAGACGAGGATAAGCAAAATATCGTGATTTGTTTGTCGCAAGCAGATTAGGCTATTATTTGATCGCAATACACTGCCCTTTGCCCTTTGCCCTTTGTTTTTAAGCGTCAAAAACGTACAAATTTGAAGATTCATTTTCGTCCTTAAATGATTTGTAACTGATAAAAAAATGCACAAATGTACAAAAAAGGTCAAAAGTTTTCAATAAAAAAAATACCTATTTAAATGAATAAAAAGGCTGCATTAAAGACTTATGTATGTGCTTTACACGAGCTAAATTACAAGTTTAAGGGATTACATTTAGCACTTTTGCCAAGCGCGGGAAAAACGACAACTTAAAAGTTAAAAAAAATCTTCAGTGGTGCTTGATTTCCCTCCCACCTGATGGCTGCTTTCAGTATAGTACAAATGGAATTAATATGAAGTGGTTAAAGAGCTCGGAAAGTAAGAAAACCTTTGTGGAAAGGTCTTATCTGTCGGATCATTGCAATGTCAGTTTGTAATTATTCACTTTACAGGGGTACCCAGAGGAGCTGTTGCCTGTTACAGTTGCTGGCATCCCTTCAATGCACATCTGTCTGGACTTCATATGTGAACTTGTCAACCAGCCACAACTGGAAAAACAGGTTTGTAAGAATTGTTTCTCAAGGTTTAGCGCCTCGATAACGACTGGACTAGACTGCGAACAATCTTTCCTTTTCCTTAGACCAGTGAGGCGCGTGGATTGATTTACGAGTATGCAAATTTTCCCTGGTTTCGGCGCCTGAGGTGGTTCGTATTGCTGTAGCCTGTTCCAGACTCCATCTTGCGGTGAAAAAAGATGCGAAAAACGCGCGGGGGCTGGGAAGAGAGAAGGCCACCACCCCGTTTCCCAGATGGCGCTCGTTTTATATTCGCTTGGCTAGTTTTATTTTCGCGACGTCGATCGCGTTCCCTCTATCTGAGAACCTGGCACAAGCTCGTATCGCAGGGGAAGGTTTCCTCTTATTTACAGAAAACAGGAAAAGATTGTAACTGCTTGCAGCCTAGACAAGGACGTGAGAGTGCTGAAGTTTTACTACATTCTCTAGTACTGGTTAGTTGCTGTTATCCAATTATATCACTGAACATGTTTTCTCTATGTTGTTGCAGTTATTTGCAATACAGCTCGCTTCATATCTTTGCCTTCAATTCCCGCTCCCCAAGGCGATGGGTGTGGCTAGGTACATTCTCAGTCGCCTCAGTTCTCTCTTGGCTACACTCCCTGCTAGCAAACGTGTGGCATTTTTCACTCCTGCCCTCCCAGCCTTGGTCCGATTTTGTCGAGCATTTCCGCCATTGTGTGACGAAGCCACAGGGTTTCTGTTGGAGCTTGGTCGAGTAGCAGCATCTCATGCTTCAGCATCTGTTGGACATCCTTTAAGTAAGTCACAACACCAATCTTGCCCGAACGAAGGCTGGAGTACAATCCGTTTTGTGCTCCTGCGTTCATTAGCCCCAACCTCGTTCCCATGGTTTTGTTCTACTCGTTCCTCTGGGGGTGAGTAGGAGCGGACCCTGGGAACGAGGTTGCATTAGCCCATGGTAGGAGGATGCAAAGCTGACTCTCTCAAACAGCTGGAAATCTACCCTAGCGTGAAAGACGAGTATAATTTTACCCTGTGAATAACAATTTTGTCTGCGTCACAAATTTCCAACTCATGCGTAACTTAAACTTCTGATTACACGAAGTTGACCATTGAGGAAAGGTGTTTTGCTAGAACGCGTTGTTTCCTATTTTGATTGAGCTTTATATTGTATCCTTTTTTAAAAAAATTCTAGATTGGCAAATATTTTATGCAACATGAGTATTGAAAGATGTATAATCTTGGTGTTTATCAGCACTCACCCCTTGTTCTCCATGAGACATTGAGAGAAGATTGCATACCATAGTAAATTGTTAAATCCCTTTCTCGTCTTTCAGGTACTCCAGGATCTCTCTTGCATCAACTGGCGCCTGAGCAACACCAAGAAACCACTGACCAAGAAGACCACGGCTTCACGGATGACTTGTGGCTCCCCAACAATGTTGCTCGTGAAAAGGAAAGCAGTGTTTTGGAGAAACCTACTGATGCTGGTTTATGTCAGGCGATCGAAAAGACTTTTTTAAACCTTTCCAATGTGGCAGTTGTTAAGCAACAGAGTTGTGACAGTTAGAATATTTGAACCTTTCAACCTTAAATGAGGTGGATCTCTTCAGTCGCATTTAGGCTGCGAGCAGCCAGTATTCTCCACAGAGACAGCTAACGAAATACGCGAGCTCGTGAAAATTGCCTCTTGTGAGGAAGGTGATATGCGGAGGGCAGCCTTCTTCGAGTGTGGCAATTTGCCATTCTTCCATTGGTTGTGCTTTAAAAGGATTTGACTGATGAAATGTTGTTGCTTTTTTCATCGAAAAACGACAACTACATCCTGTATTATCTCCGTTATAAATGCCCACTTGGGTGAAATGCTATGCTTATTACAAGAGGTTTCGAGAGGAGGAACGGTGTACTAAAATGTACCAATGTTGGCAATGAAAGTAATGACGTCACAGTTTTCATAACGGTTATTTTGTAAATAGACTACACAAGAGTTGTAAATATAGAAACATTTCTTCGTGATATCGAGTACTTTCTCCATCTTGATTTTCATCCTCCTTTCGTCCCCTTTCACATGCAAAGCAGCTACTCTAACGAAACTCTTCCTCGTACCCTCGCGCTTCTTAGGATTTTCGGCGTAGTCGCAATGTGTCATGGAACGTTTTCGCGTGCAGCAGAAAGGATCATGGGAAAGCTAGGAAAAGGCAATGGCACATGGGAAAGTGAAAAGCCAAGCGCCCTTCCCATGATGCCTTAGGTTGCGACTGCAGAAGCGCCAGGGTATAGGGCAGCGCGAATCTTGTCGAGCGCATAGCATCCCCCCTCCCGATTCCCGGAAATGGCCTATTACGACCACCTTTGTGAAAGCCCGACTGTGACTTAAAGCTCTTGTGAGCAACAGCGACTACTTTTCGGATTACCCAACTGGACTTTATCCTTGTTTTTAAGCTCTCGTAAGCAACCACTTCGAGTCTTATTCATATAAATCAAAACTTTAATGAAGCTGCACATTGCACTAATGGTTTGTTGATAAAGATCTTTTACAGTGCGGTATTGTATTTCGGTTATTCTTTTAGCCTGCATGGTAGCCTCCGTAGGGGAGTGGGGAGGGTAAGAAGAACTAATGGAGGGAGGAAAAAAGGAGAGGGGATTGGGGAGAGAAAGAAGGGAAGTTTCCCTTCTTCTCTTTCTTACCCTCACCCCTCCCCCTAACGCCTACAGCCTACGCAGGCTACCTGCATAGCAACGATCACTCACATAGTCTAACGTAGCCTTCATGAATTATTTTAAAATGAGTTTCTGAAGCTCTCTTAAGCGACCACCCTCTATTGTTTTTTTAAAACAGCCTGCATAACCGGCGTTATTTTTTTCGCCCTTTTCAGGCAAGCGAACGCTAGCGTGAGGCGAGCAAGGAGTGCCGGACACGCGCGACCATGAGGTCGAGAGAGCTCACTCTCGAAACGGACCAGCTCTAGTTACGACCACTTCTTCGAATTTCTGAGGTGGTTGCTTACGAGAGATTACACTGTATTTTCCTTTTTCTGGGGCGAGGGATATGGTTCGGTACACGGAGGACTGTGTTATAACGAGGTTCCACTGTAGTCCAAATAGTGTAAAACATACTCCTGTTCGTTTTGGGCCAAATGAATTACCTATTCGAATGCCAGGCTAAGTAAACGCGCCCTTATAAATTATTACGGTGTAGCAAACCTTGTTGAATTGTTAAAGCAGTTATTCAAGAAATCAAAATTTGACGACAAGTAAAGATAGCGCCTAAGCCCCTCGCTGGCTTTGCTGTATTCAGCAAGACACTAAGAGTTAAAAGCAGTCATAGATTTTCTGAAATTATAGAGTTTGCCGTACTTTATAAAATGAAACCAACAAAAAGACCAAGAGAAAGACAAAAAATGGCGTTTCTTTGCGTTTATTCAATTTATATTTTATTTGAAGTATTCGTTTAGATTCGGAACATTGGGTGACGCGATGTACAGGAAAATATAAGATAGAGATCTTACACTTATTTGACAGAATTGTAAACACTGATTCTGCACCGTTCAGGGGCGATAGCGATAGTGTAAGTTGTTAAAATTGAAAAATCAAAATGTGCTTAACTCGTGTAAAGAATTCGCAAGAAAGTTCTCTAAAATCACGTTGAGTTTCAGAGACAAACTAATAGATCACTAAAAGGTGTGACTGTTGTAACCGTATTTTTTTCGCATGAAAATATTGTGAAATAATACAATCTCTCAAAAATAACAGTTTATACTTGTAAATATATATTTTATATTAGAAAAATCTTACTTGAATTCTGAGTCTCTTCCAAAAAAAACAATTTTAGCATTAAATGGAACAGTTTTAAATCGAGTCTGAATCACTCTCGCTAATCAAAAAGACATGTAAAACGAGAGAAAAGCACGAGTGATCCGACCATTAGTGAAAGTAAAAAAAATGACAAGAATTCATGGTGATTAACAGTGTCACGAAATATATAAAGCTGTTCGCGAGTATTCAATTGAAATACATTCATTCGTTACTGAACAGTTTCTATCATTTTTTCGGTAGTTAAATTAATTGCAACAATAGTCGCCCCAAGTAGGGAAATCCAGATTCCCTAATCCAAGAAATTTTTGCCAGTGGAATCCAGAATACAGCTCAAGGAATTCCGGAATCTCACTAACGATTGGAATCAGAATCCAATACCTGGAATTCAGATTCCAAGAATGTCTTGGATTTCCTTACATGGCGGCGAAGTCTCGTTTCTTGTAAAAACAATCATAGACATCTTCTCTAGTGATGAAAGTCAAATTTCTCGTGAAAAAAAAAAAATAATGGAATTGGTACTTTTTACAAGCCTCACCTCTCGAATTTTCCGTTTATTTTACAAACTTTCATCATACCCCAACAAAAAGAAAACACGTGATCGTAGTTAATCATCTGTTACTGACATGTACGTTAGTTGACCAGCAGAGCCTTTATCGTGACTTTCACTCGTGTAGATCTTCTGTTGGAGGAACGTAAGTGAAACCAACGAAGGCGTCGTCAGGGTCATCCACGCTGGCACTCAAGAAAGCTGAGTCAGCTGATTTACCCACCGATCCTAGGATTGAAATAAATACTTGTTAGTCACGGTATGAGTTAGGGGCGTAGCCAGAATTTTTCCAGAGGTACGCAAAATTTTCCAAATCCAACTGACACTGCAATACATTGAAAAGAAATTGACACATGTATATGCTTCGGTAAGAATTACCGTCTTCGTACGACCCTGATTTTACATGCCGAGGTAACAGATGTCACACTCGAGTTTGTTTCCAGCGATAGGTGAGGCATCATAGAAACTCAAATGATTGGTTGATTCACCGTGGGACTGAGAACACAACAGAACCAAGCATCCTACTAGATGTCAACGAGACTTTCTTAAACAAAACTAAATCCCTCGAAATGAACTATTCACAGTCCCCTATTTTTTCGTAAGATCGTCAGGATCGAGAGCTTACCAGCACAGGCGGCCATCTTCATTTTATGTATACCGAGGGGGTGGACGTCCGGGTTTATAGCGGTAAGGGGCGGGGGAGGGAGGCGCCTCCTCCCCAAACGTCCTCCGTCCCCTAAGTAGATTTGAGACTCATCCCCAGGCTAAACTCAGAACATTTGAAGCCAAGTTGGCTGCCTGTACCGGAAAGCGCTCGATCTCGACTATCTTACAGAAAAGTAGGGGAATGTGAACAGTTACCTTCGAAATGACTCCACGTTGTTTTATTCCATAACTTCGCATATTTGACCTCACTGGAATGCAAACTTCAAGTCAGGTATGATGTATGCCAAGGAGGAGCAGTTTTTTAAAGCGAAAACGGATAATGGTAACAAACTACTTCAATGGTTTGTTACAGGGGAACAGGCAACAAAAATGAAAAATGCCAATTAGATTTTGTTCAAAATAGCGCTAATATGGAGCAAAGACAAAAGAAACAGAGTTATCTTACAAAGTTTACAACAATATTAAAGCAGGAAAGCAGAAACAAACCTGGGACCGGCTCACGAACAAATTCAGGATCAAAATGCTTCAGATCCAGTTGACCACTCTGTCAAATAAAGTAAGTAAGTATCAAGAGAAACACTGCGTATTTCCGTATCCGAGGAGCATACCGGAAAATATACTACCACTTATCGAAGACACGCTAACTATAAAAATACAATAGATAAATATCTGATGAGAATACCGTAAAATTCCGAAAATAAGCCCCTCCAAATATAAGCCCCCCAAACTTGTAACGAAAAAAACCGTCCGTTAAATCGCCCCTCCATATATAAGCCCCCCGGGGGCTTGCACTCGAAAATTGCCCTCAAATACAGAGTAAAGCAAAGCAAAAACGGTAAATTTCCTTCCAACTGTAAGGCTAGCCCACTCGATTTTGAAACGCAAATTTCCCTCCATAGATAAGCTCCTCCAAAAATAAGCCCCTCAAAAAAGGCCTTTGAAAAATACCGGGGGGTATAAGCCCCGGGGCTTATTTTCGGAATTTTACGGTATGTTGGGGGTTAATTGAGGATGATGGCGTCATTGGGCGGTGACGTTAAGCCGTTGGCTCTGTCTCCCTCATACTTCCTTCGTTAGTTTACTCCTAGGGGTCGTAAAAGAACGCACACTTAAAGCCTCCGTTCGAAAAAATGAAAACAGTAGGGGAGTTTCCCCGGTCCCTGGTGGTATGATCTGCCTCCACCCCTTTTATTACTTCACACCATGCATGTCACGGATTACGTTGATTGCAATACGTTCAAAGATGGCGCCCCATATGCGGGGTTACCGGTCGTTTCGATACAAGTTTATTCATTCGAGTTGTAAAAAGCTTCACGTACTTAGCTTTAAGAACGAAGAATATTCACCAACAATGTTTTTCTTTTTCAGGCACAAACTATACTTGAAGTGATCGAAATTTTTGTGCAGGTTTACTGCTTGGGTTTGTATCGAAACGACCAGTTACCATATGGCGACATCTGAGCTATACACGGGACGTTTTGCAACGACGATTTTCAGCGCAACACAGCGACAACTACGACGCGAAAATGCCTAGTTTCACGGCGTTTTCTGGAAGACTTAAACAAGCCAGGACGAAATTTTCTCTCATTCTTATCCTGAATATGGTTCTCAGGAATTCAAGTCAAGGAGTGTTTGCTTAAGTGAGTGAGTCAGAATGATCGCGATGAAGATTGGAAGAACGCAAATTCAATTTTTAAGAGAGGTTTTCGCTTCCCTCGCCGTCCGCGGATCTTAAGGTGCCTGACGTTAGAAGGAAGCTTATGTAACGAGCAGAACAACAACTCTGTTCGTGCATTACACTTTCTGGTACATTTTTTAGTCGTCACTGCACGACTACCACGTAAAAATTTGCTAATGCGACGTTTTGCTGAGGACGTAATCACACAGCGAGAAATTTTTCTTCCAATTTTTGAATTTGGATGCGGTCCTTGGGAATTCGCCTACATATTTCACAGTTTAAGCGTGTTGGAAAAAACGTGATAAAATTTGAAAGAGTACGAATCCACTCTACCAATAACGTTTTCAGTGCCGTCGCCGTTGTCGCTGCTTAGCTCTGCTTAGGGTCCCTAATATAAAACGGAAAGAGAATTATAAATTTGTCCTCTGATTCTTCGTTACATTTCATGGGAGGGCCACAAGATCGTGTAATCTATTGCATATCCCTACATGTCGCTTGTCGTCTTGGCAGTGTTTATGTTTGCGTACTCCGATGCAAACTGTGGAATAATCTTTCCAGTGACTTTAAAGTAGAGGAGAATGTGACAATTTTCGGACGCCGACTACTGAATGCGCTTTTGAGTGATGAAATTTAGCTTGGATGAAACCTATTTATTTATTCCTTCATTTATTTATTTATTTATTTACAATATGTTCCAATTTTTTTAATTGTCCCAACGTATACATTTTCTACTAATTTGGTATTTTTTTTCTACGTTGTTACAATATCGTGGTCAAATGAACATTGTGACTGAAAAGCCCAGGTTTGGAGTATTTATACACATTGTATGCAGTCATTCACTTGTGACACTTGACTTTACTCACCACATTAGGATTGTATGGTGGGTCAATTTTCTTTTCATACAACGACTCCCAGTCAATGATCCTGAAGAACGGATGATTCTTTATGTCCTCCTGAGGATGAAAAACGATTGATTAAACTTAAANTCGCCTACATATTTTCACAGTTTAAGCGTGTTGGAAAAAACGTGATAAAATTTGAAAGAGTACGAATTCACTCTACCAATAACGTTTTCAGTGCCGTCGCCGTTGTCGCTGCTTAGCTCTGCTTAGGGTCCCTAATATAAAACGGAAAGAGAATTATAAATCTGTCCTCTCATTCTTCGTTACATTTCATGGGAGGGCCACAAGATCGTGTAATCTATTGCATATCCCTATATGTCGCTTGTCGTCTTGGCAGCGTTTATGTTTGCGTACTCCGATGCAAACTGTGGAATAATCTTTCCAGTGACTTTAAAGTAGAGGAGAATGTGACAATTTTCAGACGCCGTCTACTGAATGCGCTTTTGAGTGATGAAATTTAGCTTAGATGAAATCTATTTATTTATTCATTCACTTGTTTATTTATTTAAAATATGTTCCTATTTTTTTACTTGTCCCAACGTACACATTTTCTACTAATTTGTTTTTTTTTTTTCTACGTTGTTATAATATCGTAGTCATATAAACATTGTGACTGAAAAGCCCAGGTTTGGAGTATTTATACACATTGTAAGCAGTCATTCACTTGTGACACTTGACTTTACTCACCACATTAGGATTGTATGGTGGGTCAATTTTCTTTTCATACAACGACTCCCAGTCAATGATCCTGAAGAACGGATGATTCTTTATGTCCTCCTGAGGATGAAAAACGATTGATTAAACTTAAATGACTTGCCGATAAAGTACAACTTCTAAAAACAAGGCAGCTAAGCCCATGCTTCTAGGTACAATTTTCTTAGTACTTTAAAATTGTTTTCTGACCCTATGGTATTCACTGTGCCACATCCAACTTCCTAGGTCGGAATACACTGGGCGAAAAGTTACAGCAACATGTCACGGAGACACATCGCAGTGACCGATCTCTTCGTGTGTACTAGAGAATTTTTACCGAATTAAGCTTTAGTTACTTGGAAATTAACTCCAATGACGTTTCGCTTCTTTTCAATCACTTTATTTATAATTACTTTCCCACTTCTCTCGCCTAAGTAAGAAAAAACTCAGAGGATTGAAAAGCGTTGAATATTGAGGAACACAAATCTATACACGATGATAATGGCAGAAGTAGAAAATAGGGGGAAAACGTGATCATGTGGCACTTGTTGGATTGGTCTCACAGAAATAAAGAAAAAAAAATATTACTTGAACTTCCAGTCACACCTAGAGATTTAAGCTTCTTGCATCAAACGGTTTGATTGAGAGCCACAGATTCTTTGTCGAGGCCCGTCGGCATTCCAAAAGCTCAATTCATCTAATTGTTATTCCTTGCATTGACAAACTGGGCGCTGTAAGTACATGTCCCGAAAGACAATAGCGTTCTCGGCGATGATAATGCAGAGTTTGAATGTATTTAGTAGCAGAACTATTACTTACAAAATCACTTGGTCCCTGTCCAAGCCTCTTGGTACGGTCTTTCTGAAGAAGCTATCAGCGAGAAAAAAAGCGTTATCACATAAATATTTAGCCTGCGTACAAAAGTCTCGTATATTTCTTTGCTCCGCAAACAACAAAGGGAATAGAAGACGCCTGCACGCAGGCTAAGAAATATTTTCATCATAAAAGTGATAAAATACTATTTCGTAGGAAATAGAAAAGATGCGGTAGCTAAGGGGCTGTTTACATGGAGGTAGGAAGATCCTGGAAGGCGGAACAACTTTTTGTTGGCTAAATATATTGATTTATCTTTATTTATCGACTACAGTACGTTTTTCAAGGACGTAATCCAATACTACTATTGTCAATTCAGTCCGGTGTCCGCTAGCCTGCGCGCAGACGAAATTAAACTCTGGTACTAATCAGAGTTTAGTTATCGTCTGCACGCAGGCTAGGTGTCCTCTTAATAGAGGTTTTTAACAAAAGAAATAAGCCAAATATAATCTATTTTAGTGTCCGCGTCCGCTTAATGGAGGTGTCCGCTGAATAGGAGTTCGTTATAAAGGGAAATATAAGACGTTAATGGAGTAGTTGTAGTAGTAGTAACGCCAAACGAAATGTTCGGCCTTTCTTGCCGTGATAATCCACTGAACGACCCGCCGCCATTTTTGTCTGGTTTGTCCCTGGCACTAAAATCTCCTTGCAAAAACAGATTACACGGGGCTAGGATCTTCCTATCTCTCACCTAGGAAGATCCTAGTGCTAGGGACAAATACAACTCATTAGATGTAAACTGAATACTAACAACATAAGGCGCCAGAATGATCCACCTTCTAGGATCCTTCTAATGCTAGGATCTCCCCTCCATGTTAACAGCTTCTAAGTCGTCTGTCAGGCAAGCCGTGGTTTCGTTTTACTCACCACATTAGGATTGTATGGTGGGTCAATTTTCTTTTCATACAACGACTCCCAGTCAATGATCCTGAAGAACGGATGATTCTTTATGTCCTCCTGAGGATGAAAAACGATTGATTAAACTTAAAATGACTTGCCGATAAAGTACAACTTCTAAAAACAAGGCAGCTAAGCCCATGCTTCTAGGTACAATTTTCTCAGTACTTTAAAATTGTTCTCTGACCCTATGGTATTCACTGTGCCACATCCAACTTCCTAGGTCGGAATACACTGGGCGAACAAGTTACAGCAACATGTCACGGAGACACATCGCAGGGACAGATCTCTTCGTGTGTACTAGAGAATTTTTACCGAATTAAGCTTTAGTTACTTGGAAATTAACTCCAATGCCGTTTCGCTTCTTTTCAATCACTTAAATACTTTCCCACTTCTCTCACCTAAGTAAGAAAAAACTCAGAGAATCTCTAGTTGAAAAGCGTTGAATATTAAGAAACACAAATCTATACACGATGATAATGGCAGAAGTAGAAAATGGGGGGAAAAACGTGATCATGTGCCACTTGTTGGGTTAGTCTTACAGAAATAAAGCAAAAAAAATATTACTTGAACTTTCAGTCACACCTAGAGATTTAAGCTTCTTGATCAAACGGTTTGATTGAGAGCCACAGATTCTTTGTCGAGGCACGTCGGCATTCCAAAAGCTCAATTCATCTAATTGTTATTCCTTGCATTGACAAACTGGGCGCTGTAAGTACATGTCCCGAAAGACAATAGCATTCTCGGCGATGATAATGCAGAGTTTGAATGTATTTAGTAGCAGAACTATTACTTACAAAATCACTTGGTCCCTGTCCAAGCCTCTTGGTACGGTCTTTCTGCAGAAGCTATCAGCAAGAAAAAAAAGCGTTATCACATAAATATTCAGCCTGCGTACTGAAGTCTCGTATATGTTGCAGATAATTTTTTATTTCAGGTAATTTTTGTTTTTCCTTTGTCTCAATTCATTACCATACATTACCATATTCAAAAACAATGGAAAAATAAAAATTAACTGAGATAAAAAATTAACTACAACATATATTTCTTTGTTCCGCAAGCCACAAAGGAAACAGAAGACGCCTGCACGCAGGCTAAGAAATATTTTCATCATAAAAGTGATAAAATACTATTTCGTAGGAAATAGAAAAGATGCGGTAGCTGTAAGGGGCTGTTTGCATGGAGGTAGGAAGTTCTTGGAAGGCGCAACAACTTTTTGTTGGGTTTACATGCAGAAATTTTGGTCCGTGCGGTTTTCAAGTACGGTGAAACCTCTATTAAGCGGACACCTTCGGGACCTCTCAACTGTCCGCTTAATAGAGGGTGTCCGCTGAATAGAGGTTTGTAAAAGTTGCACAATGTTTGTTGCACGCGGATGACAATCATACGGCCGGATATCGATCTAATTTACAGTTTATTGACAGCTAAATATATTGATTTATCTTTATTTATCGACTACAGTACGTTTTTCAAGGACGTAATCCAATACTACTATTTTCAATTCAGTCCGGTGTCCGCTTAACAGAGGTTTTTAACAAAAGAAATAAGCCAATATAATCTATTTTAGTGTCCGCGTCCGCTTAATGGAGATGTCCGCTGAATAGGAGTTCGTTATAAAGGGAAATATAAGACGTTAATGGAGTAGTAGTAGTAGTAGCAGTAACGCCAAACGAAGTGTTCGGCCTTTATTGCCGTGATAATCCACTGAACGACCTGCCGCCATTTTTGTCTGGTTTGTCCCTGGCACTAAAATCTCCTTGCAAAAACAGATTACACGGGGTTAGGATCTTCCTATCTCTCACCTAGGAAGATCCTAGTGCTAGGGACAAATACGACCCATTAGATGTAAACTGAATACTAACAACATAAGGCGCCAGAATGATCCACCTTCTAGGATCCTTCTAATGCTAGGATCTCCCCTCCATGTTAACAGCTTCTAAGTCGTCTGTCAGGCAAGCCGTGGTTTCGGCTCTGAAGACTCTTGACGCAAACGAATGGTGCTGAGTGGTGTTCAGTCCATATCGATGATGACCTCCGCATAGGTTATCGAAACGTCAGTACCGAGCGTGAGCAACGACGAAGGCGACGTCAACGAGAACGGCAAAAGAGAAATTGGTTTAGATTGGCAAAACAACAAATATGTACGTGCACCGCGCTTTTTTGTACATTTCTTTGCCGTCACGGCACGACTACGACGAGAAAATGCATAATTATACGTTTTTGTAGAGAAAGTGAACTCAAGACAACGACTTTCTTTATCTTTTCCTGAACTTCGATAGAGTCGTTTAGAATTCAACTCCAGAAAAAAAGTACCAACATTTGACGACTTGAGCGAGATAGAATAGGCGCAGAAACGTTTGAAGCAGCGCGACTTCACTTTTTAAGTGACGTTTTTGTAGCCGTCGCCCGTCGTTGTTGCTTGAGCTCCCTAGGAGTCACTGTCGTCAACGAGCCAGTTTCGGACTACACTCACCCGGAAGATCATGTTTCACCTACTTTTCAAAAGTTCGTTTACGTATAAATTGTTTTGACTTCCTTTTGGGAGACAAACCATCGAACGTCCAATAGCTGGTCACTTACCCCCTCTAAAATGTTTCTTGCACTCTGGGAAATGTTGGTCCTTAGACGTAGCGGTTTGTACAGAATATTCTCATACATTTCAGCTGTGTTGCGGCTGTAAAATGGAGGCTACGAAGGAAATAAAGAAATTTTGAGTTTCCTTTTTATGGACCAAAGTAATAAAAAATAAATGTAAATTTAACAATGATTTCTGTCATCAGTTTATTAAACTGAGACACCTGAGCCAAAACGAATCCAAAGAATCAGAGAATAAAAACATGATTGATTGGAATTGTCCTAAAGTAACGCACGCTTAAACTAATACGGTGCTAAGCTGATAATCAAGTATCGAGAGTATCCTGCGAGCAAGCTTTCCATTCCGATTGACAAGCGTGGGTGATATACGAGAAAACGCGAGAACGAGTGGCCGCGAGTGGCAGTGGAAAGGAGAGCTTCCCTTTCCTTCCCCGTCACGGGCGTGACTTCTCACGATATCCTTAAACTAGATAGCTTTCTCGCAGGCTAATAATTAGAATTCTTACCAAACCATACATCATTTCGTATAAGACTGCACCCAGACACCACCAATCCACTGTTTTGTCGTATTCCTGCTTCCGAAGAACTTCTGGAGCTAAGTACTACCAACAAGAGAAACAAAAAATATCGAAAATAGGTACAAGTTGTGCTCTCGGTGGGGCATGTCACTATTACAAATACAGATCCTAGTAAAAAGAATGTCTATCACTGGTGACCTGAAGATATAGGGTATAAATTTTTATTAAGTATTCACATCCATGCAACTAAGGAATTTACATTGTATAGAGCGTTTGGATATCACAAGCATAAATTTCCGTTAAAAATTGACCAAGGATTTTTGATCACTCGAGAAGCCATAAACATTTTTAAGAGAATTTCAATTTTATTGGTTCTGATCTCTCTAAACCTAGACTCGGCAAAAAGATCAATGAACTTGTGGAGAGTGTGACATAGTGACAATTGTTTGAGGTTATTGTAAAGAATTACCTCTGGTGTGCCACAGAATGTTGAGGTTGTTCCTGAAGATTCTATTCCCTCTTTACATAGTCCAAAGTCTGTTAAAACAATATGACCCTGCCAGGAAAAAAACATTGTAAAACACCAGTTTTTACGTTGTGATTGCTCGAAGTTAATCGTAGAAATTGTAAAAATATTATCTATCGCGAATTAATAATAGCAAGAAGCTAGTTGGGGTAATAATAATAATAATATAATAATAATTAAAACTTATATAGCGCAACTTTCCATGGGACATGATCAAATGCGCTTTACAATAAGTTAAAAAGAAAGACTAAAAATGAATAAAATTTACAAGCAAGTGGAAAGATATAAAAATGAAATAAAATAACATAACAAGGTGAACAAACCTTATAATCTAGAAGAATATTCTCTGGCTTCAAGTCCCTGAAAAATGAAAAATGTAATGTTACCTATAGTCTAAGGGAAAAGCGCTGACATGGAGTCAGCCAATATCCTTCTTCGACTTAAAATTCTCTTCAGCTAACAACTTTAAGTCATCTTTAATAGAATGCTCAAAATGAAGGGACACTAAATTACCGGTGACTGGCAGAACATATTGCTCTCTTAACAGAGACCTTCGTAAAAAGACACCTGGACTTGGTCGGATCCTCTCATCGGCAGTTGCAGAAACTATCGTTGGTTCAGTGTTTTTTCTATCTTTTGTAAAATGTAATTTGGTAATAACACCTGTCCGACTGAAAGACCAATTAAGACAGCACCCTTTCTTCAGTCGGTTTTCTTTGATTCTCTGTGATGTGGTCACCTCTTTATTCCTTTCACTCCAAAACGTAGCCTGCGAAGCGCAGACGCATTTCCGGTCGTCGCTTCTCTCCCTCCGAAAAATAGCGTCTGCGAACTCGAGCGGCAAAACGATTTCCGTGACGTAAAACCTTTTTAGCCAATCACGGTTTAGCTCTTAAAATCAAGGAACTAACTCGCGAGACTTCTCGCAGGATCGTGCGCGGTGGATATGTTTTCAAGTCGAAATTGAAAGGACGACGTGGCTTTTTTTTAGCCGTCCTTTTACGCCGCGTTTACGAAAGTTAATTTGCCAGGATTGTGGCACTGATTGACGAAATAAGTATCAAGAGGATTCATATCGAAGAAAAGATTAGAGGACAATTTCCATCTATTTGCCTACGGAGTCATTGATTTATCACACCTTGTTGTTTTGATCATATTCGAAACGATAAATGTCCTAATGACAGAAGACGCATCATGCCGTTTGTTGCTTCTGTTCCTCTCTGGTTCCTGACAGGAAAGTGTGCCTTGGAGAACTCTTCGATAGTTTGTCGTGTGCCGCTTTAGATATTTTTAGTAGATATCCTTTATCTTTGAAAGGTAGGACATGTGGTAATTGATTTTCCATGCGTGGTTGCTTCTTGGTTCAGATAGAACTTTGATCAGATCGAAAGCATTTTATATTTGTTCCGGTATATTTCTTTGAGTACATGTTCTTTTCAAGGTTCTCATTTCCATAGTTTTTTGTGAGATGAGTCGAAGCGTCGTAGCTGAAATGTCATTTTGACTATGATCTATTTACTGCTGTAACTATTTATTTCACGCTGGGTCTGGCCCAGGTTTATAATATTTCAGATCATTGTGTTGTGGCGATACTAGAATTATTAACGAGCGATTGTTAGAGATTTCTGAATCAGTCAAGGATGTGTCTGTATAATTGATTCACCACCTTTTGTCAGCGCTGGTTAAATTGAAATAAATAAGTCTGAGCGCGATGTCATTAAGCTATGTTGCTTTCCTTTCGCTGTAGCGATTATTTGGTTCAGGTTTTGTTTATGTCACGTACTACGGTCTTTTATAAAGCGAAACCAAAGGCCCACATCACATACATAGCTTAAGAAGCCGTTGCTTCATAAAGAAGTCACCATTCAATGTGGCAGGAAACCTTCTTATGGTCGTGAAATTCACGTTCCAAAGCGTATTTGGTAATTCTCGCCAAAATCCAAGACACTTCAGCGCGCGAGGTCGCGAGGAGTCACTCGAGCTGTATTCTATCCTTTGATTTGATTGGCCTACATCAAAACAAAAGGTTTTACGTCACGGAAATCGTTTTGCCGCTCGGGTTCGCAGACGCTATTTTTCGGAGGGAGAGAAGCGACGACCGGAAATGCGTCTGCGCTTCGCAGGCTATCCAAAACGCAGCCAAAGTTAAAATTTAATGAAATTCTTAAATTTCATTTTATAAAATGCAGAAAAACAAAAAGCACCACTTGAAAGAGGTTCCACTTGAAGGGTCCACAGACTCAAACGTTAGAATCACTGTACAAGACGACTTATATAGACGATTCATTGAGACGTGTCAGCCCCATAAATGTCCATTTTAGAGCAAGTTAGCCGTTTGCAAAAAAATATTTTGGATGAGCATCTACTTCATCACTACGGATCTTACGAAAGTACGACGGCAACACACCAAGTAATATGAAATTTTCGTGACAGCTTGCACCTGTTAGAAATTGGTGACCTACCTATAAATGATTTGAAGAGAGTGAAGATAACCTATTGCCGAGGCAATTTCTGCTGCGTAGAATCTTGCCCTGAAATGTTTGGTAATAAAATGTATCATAATATTATTCTCAATTCATAGCTCAAGGAAAATTGAATGCCTTCTCTATAAACCGAGGAAACTAAATGTCTGTGCATGCATCAGCAGTGCAAATTATTGCCGTTTTTTCACTAGAGTGGCCTACTGTACATAGTCATCAGTAAACACTGTTAGGTTATCTGCAGGTCAACTGTTCACATGACTTAATATAACCAAAAGGGAATGCTTATCAGATGGTTTGAAAATCTTTCCAATACATCTGTTCATTCTTCCACTTATTGGAGGGTTTCTGATTAAAGGAAAAATTGGGGCTGAAATCTCCAGTCAATTTTCTCCATATTTATAACCACTTATTAAATATGTAATTAATTTTCTTATCAATTTTGTAATTAATTTTGTAACAGTTCATCGCCACGGAATATTAATGAGTTTTTAACTCTTAAAAATTTTTCCTGTATACTCTGTTTTTTAAATCCTGTAATGCTTTGGTCTGAAATATTGTTTTCACCCTGAAAAGCTAAAAACTCTACCAAAAGAAACTCAATTAGACATGACCTTGTTTTGCCTGTCAACTGCATTACCGCATCGGTGATATGAATAGAAGTACCTCAGCATAATATAGATATACACTATTATTATATTAAACACCATTGAAATACCAGGCGCGTTTTCTTGCAAAAACGTATCTTCACACAAAGAGGTAACATATTATCTTCACACGTAAAAAGGTCACGATTGCTATGGTTACATAAAATTGTGCCTTTCACGACAGAACAAAAATGTTTAAGTGAATTGGTTTGATGATTTATTAGTGTTTATAATAAACAAATAGAACACTACATGACCACTTAGCAATACAAAATTTTTCTTCTCGCATTGAAAAACAGTTAAATTTTATTATTCACTGTACTCAATTGTGAAATATTGTTCAGCACTCAAAGAAAAATTTTGTAACTCCGCATGGCTATTAGTCTCCCTCGCAGCCGTTTTTAGTATCGTCACGCAACGCTATACTAAAAATGGCTGCGAGGGAGACTACATGGCTATGTAATAATCCTTTATATATACTGGCACTATACCAATACTTACCTGCTTTCTTGAAAATATCTCTCTCTTTGCAAATGAAAGAAAAGCTACAACAACAACGAAAAACCAACCATCATATCTCATTGCATGAATATTTGGAAATAAGGAGCCCATACATGTATGTATAGACAGAGAGGTAGCCTCCATCACCCCATGTCCTCTTTTATACATTGGAGGGCCTTTTTGACTTTGTAACAGAGAAATTCCATTCCGAGTTTGTTTTTTAACATTGTTAAGTTTAATCTAGGGTGTAGCTGAATTGTAAAAAACATTTTTCTTTTCTTTTCATTGATCGAGATCCAGACCAAATCCTGAGGTAAAGGGGTGCTCTATGGCTAAAACAGGGGGCTGCTCCCCTTCCCTGCTGCAATGATCTGCCAATGGACCCAAACATATTTTCTTAGAATTATTTTAAAATAATACAAAATTTCACAGGAAATGGGGTGGCCGTGGTCCGCTTAGCTGACACCTTAATCTGCCCATGGCTTTATAAGCACAACATAAATTTACCCGATGACTCTCTACCTACCTCTCCACCATTTGCATAGTCCAACACAAAGTATAACTTATCCCTTGTTTGGAAAGAGTAGTGGAGACCCTGTGATTAAAAACATTGATAAAGAGGCTGTCACTTATGGCTAAATTGGGTGCCTGGGAAAAAGTCCCCACAAGTAACCGCATATAAACAGCTACATAATGTAGCTGTTTGTAATGAGAAATTATTTCTCATTACAAGTTAGCCTCTATTTCCTTGTGAAACAATGGGAGAAATTGGGCATTAGATCAAATATCACTTATGGCCTTATTTTTTACACATCCATAAATTACTTACAAAAGAGTTCAATCCTGGACATAAGTGCAAAAAGGTACCTTAAATGTGAATTAATCAATCAATCAATCAATCAATTAATCAGTCTTACCACCAAAAAGGGATGTTTAATATTCTGCAACAAAACATTCCGTTCCGCCATGATATGCTTTGCCTAAAAAAGAGCATTGCGTTACACTTAGTTTTCACATGATAATCTTGCGAAGGAAGGGGTGATTTTGTGTGACTTCTGTGACAGCTAAATTTGCAAATGATGGTTTTTCTTGCTGGAAATCGATTTTTGCAATTTTCAGCAAGTTGCCTATACAGGTAATTCACACTTATACTTATTGGATAGATACACAATCAAAGTACGGGCAAAAGCAGCATTGAAATGTACAATAATTATTATTAACTCCCCACTTGACAGTATGCACCATTGTCATAGCACGGTATCTGCATCTTAAATGAACTTGTCTGGTAAATTTTTCTCGCATTTATGCTGACCATTTTTAATCAGCTTCAGAGTCATTTAACATCTCATGATCAAATCCTACACTCATTTTGCATGTGAAATAAATGCATTAAATAATGCTTTTTTTTTTCTTCCAAATCAGCTGAATTTTTGCGTGTGGCCTCTGATTCTTTAGAAAAACATTGCCCTGCATTTTTTTTAATTGTTGCAGAGAGATCACAACTCTTTTTCCCCAGGAACCATTGTTCAAGAGACAAATGGTGCAAAATCACAAAAATAATGTAGAAACTGTACATAAGTACTGGTATATAATTAAAACTAACCTCTTTCCTCTTTCTTATCATAGCCTTGTTCAGAACTTTAATGGCATAGATTTTATCCTCCGCCTTGTTCTTGGAAAGAAAAACCTTTTAGGAAACAAGATGAAATTAGAATTGGGTTCCAAGTGGAAATTGTAAGGTTTGAAGAAAATCATGCTTCACTTACCTTTCCAAAGCTCCCTTTTCCTATAACTTTCAAGAAAAGGAAATCACTAGGCTTTGCTCTAGAGAAGAAAAATATAATTCTGATTTGCTAAACTGTTGCATTCAGATATTCAATATTCATGCAGGGGAATGATAAGCAAGGACTTTTCCAGATGTATGTACATCTTTCCAAATGCACACTACCCAACCCCCTTCTCCAAAAACATCACTTTCCTTGCATGTGATTTGAGTTAAAAAATTTTTATCAGCATGGTGAGGTAACCATCTCTCTAGGCCATAGGGTGGCCACTGCAGAGATTCCAACCCTGTCAACTGAAAAAAAGGGGGTTTGTGGAGCAGCATAGCCATGCCCACAAACGCCAAAGGTGCAAGCCACTAGGGGGGTCTTGGACATGCCATTTTCTAAAAGAACATCGGTCAGTGTAAAACGCAGACTGCAGACTATTGTCTTCACCATGCAAATAAGAACATGCCAACAATAGCCCCATTGTTTTCTAACCCTTGTGAAAAACAATGGTACGCAGTCAGTCCACAGTCTGCATTTTACACGGCCCATAATAAAACATGAACACATTGTACTCACTTTGGATTATTTGTACCTCCTAAATCAATCCCATCCATATCCTTAGCCTATGAAAGAAAACAATATCAAGACCTACAACAAACTGAAGAAAGGAGCCCAATGCCGTCACGCTTTTAATAGTAAAACATGTCTGAAAAACAGAATGCACAAACAGTTTGAATCGGCAACCTGGGATTCTGCAGTTACGCACCACTGGCCTTTTTTTCAAACTTAACCTATAGCCAACAAACCTGCATGGGACACTTGTATAAACCTATACTGTAAACTTCCACTTGTAAGTCCCCCCCTCCCCCCCTCCCTAGTTATGGGCTATCTACCTGTAAACGAAAAAATAAATAAATAAAATAAATAAAGCCGCCCTGGATATCACCATCGACCCTCTAGCTTGTATTGAAATGAATTTGTTTTTTACGACCTTCTGAAGTTTAAAAGAGCGAGTAAATTCAAAAAGTATTTTGACCAGCACTACTGCTATCTATTTAGCTTGTTTTGAAATGCTTTTTTACGTCTGGTTATAAGCCCCACATTCATAAACCTCCTTACGAAGTCATATAAGCCCACGGCTTATAAGCAGAAGTTTATGGTATGCAGTTTATACTCTGGCTTAATATTTTTGAGATGTGCATGTTCCACCAAGTGACTTGTTAACATGAAAATGAATACATGTACATACGATGGGAGCTGACTTTTATTGGGGCTTGATCTTTAAAACAAAAATTATATATTGGCAAGTGCTGTATTATGGCTGGGACATTTATACAGCGCTTATTCTGGGGTGCAATTCATCACAATTTTTTTGCTCCTACAAAGAGTGGTGTTAATTCTGGTAAGGTAAAATGAGGCACCTTACAGCTGGTAAATGGCATACAGCAACAGTAAAGATGGGTGCATGGTATTGCTCATAATAAAACAATAAGTCCAATGTATGAAGTGAAGCTTGTTGTATACATCCAAACTGGGTCATATCGTTTGTTACCTGAGTGTCAGACTCGTCAGCTCCTGGCTGATCATCATCGTCATTAGTTTCTGCATTCCTTGGATTATCAAGATTAAAGAATTCTCTCACCTCAGGTCTGCAAAAAATGACAACATTAAAACTGTCATTCCAATTTTTACTTGAATTTCAACTGTACTTCAGACATGCAGCTATCAAAATTTTGCTTGCCCTGCAGGGCAGTTAATCAGAAGTAGCCTGAGACAACAGCTGACATTTTGTGAGACCACCACTTAGCTGGTTTCCTCAGGAATAATGTGTGAGAAATGAGAGCAGAAATTCCATACTGATGACGCATCACTACCCAGACCTGGTTAGTGCTTCTGATTGGTCGAAGCAAATTTTACACGCAGCACAACCAATCAGAAGCATCATTAATTTCATGGGGAAACCAGTACTGGTGTCGTGAATTGTCAGTCTAAACAGCCTTACCATCAATATGAAAAGTTATTAAATGTATGAAAAGTTACTTGCCACAAAGGAAAATCTATTGGTCCCCATGACATATAACCACAAGGGACTTTGTTTGAGCCCATGAAAGAAGCCTATTAAATAGTTAAAACTGACTGTATAAAATGCTTGTAATTTCACAGAACAGCAACCCCCATGCAACCTCAGCTGTGTTCATTGAAGGCTGGACAATCTGCAAGCCAGCGAACCATGCCAGCAATGAAAAAAAATTAGGTTTTATGAAATTGTAAAAGCATGAAAAATGTTTCCTGCTGTCCCCGATATATGGGTATGTAAGGTATGTAAGGTTTTTCTGCTGATGGCAAAATTATGCAGTCCTGCTCGAATTGCACTGATCAGAGTTAAGCACTCAATGAACTGACTAGGTTCAAGCACAATAGTAGTTAAACAGAACCAACTTACAGTTCAATGGCTTTAGGATGACTGAAAATCTTCTGTGTGACATCATTGAGACCCTCTCGCCTTACTTTGATAAACTCTATAACACAGGAGTAAATAAGAAAATAAGTAAAACCGAGGATCATAATCACATTCAAGTTTGTCCAGTGCTTTATATGCTGTGAATATAATGTAGTTTATAATGTTCTATTTTCTCTCACTGTGGCAATAGACACGAGGAACAGGTCCATTTCTGGGTTGTTGTTTACTAAAATGTCATTTTCAAGGTCATTGTTTTCTAGGTTGTCACTTTCTACGTCATCTACAGGTTGTACGTACGATTTTCTAGGTTGTCTTTTTCTAGACCCAAAATAAATAATTTTGCTTTGCTCATTCCCAAACAAGTAAGCTTACCAGGATCAAAGTTATTGCCTAGCAGTCGTTTACTAGGTAGTTTCAAACGCAGGTCAGGAAACATTCTTTTAAGCTGCAAAAAATAAAAATCTGATCAGTAGAGAATAAACTTGAAATGGATCAGCTTTAGCTGAGTTGGTACAGCTGGTCAGTAGAGCTAGCAGAGGGTTTGGGGTTTAAAGCCAAAGACCTGCAGAAATAACTGAGAGAAACCTTACACCTCAGCATGGGTGAGTTGGCAACAGAGGAACGGCAGTCCAGTCTCAAGAAGAAGACACAAAAATAGTGTCCTGTGTATGAATAATATTATTAATTAAACAAGCACAGGAAAAAAAATTTTGGCGACTAAATTATAAAGGAATTACTGTTCCACTCTCAGCCTTCATGGGCAAAAAACAGCGTAAAATACTTTAATTTGTACTGTAAGTACATGTATTTCTTAAAATTTACACCCATGCTCTATTAAGCACTCTCCCTCAAATTAAGTGCCCAACACTTCTTCCTTTGCCCACTACTTTTTTTTATAGGTAAGGATATCACAGTTAAAGCCTGCATGAAAAAGGCAGGGACCCGGCACCTCTTGATATTTATTTTATAGGGGGGTTACCATTTGGCAAGTACAAAACACAGGTCACAAGTGCAGGTCACTACTCTATTGATTAAATAGCTGAGATAAACAAATTCCCCACAAGATAAAACTCTATCTGGGATGTGATTATAGGGCTAGGGGACACTTTTAGTACAGTGTTGTTCTAATATTTACCCTAGCAAGGTGATCTGTACTCTAACCTGCTTTTGTGACCTGTGACCTGTGTTTCGTATCTACCATCATCAGGTTCAGTGCAGGTACATTAGAAGCATGAAGGGACCTAGGGCTAAGGAGACAGTTGATTGTACAGCACACAACTAGAAATTACATCGCTACTACTAATCAGGGTTTCAAGACAGATTGAGTCTTCTTTGCAATACATTAATTATTGTACCTTGTCACATAATTGATGAAACTCATTGTATCTTCGAAATATGAAGTAAGACCTTCCATCAGGGAGTTTTATCAGAACCTTGTAAACCTTGACAAAGAGAGCAAAATAAGAAGGTTTTAGTATACAAAATATTTCAGAGTTCTACTGCCATCATAATGTGGAACCATAAGGTAAAATACCCAGAGAACACACCGTACCAAGCTCCGAGTGAGTCATGTACTGGTCAAGTAATTGACAATTTTCTTGACAGGGATTTTGTGCATCTCAACTGAAACCTGGCCATGTATATAAAGTACTGTAGCCCATGTTAAAATCTTATGCAGCACAACATTTTTGATAGGGATCAAACCTTCTTTGTAAATGCAAGAAGTGCATTTTGCATAGGAAGAAGTTTCTTCACAAATCTTCTTTTCTAAGTACCTACAAAATATTTATGCCATTCCAATCCCTTGCAGACAAGCTCCAAATGGGAATTAATAATATTTTAAATTCTCCCCCTACTATAATCCCTAGCCATATGTGATTGTTACAACACCCTTTACAGCAAGGAGCCCAAAAGCATGACCTCCTTTAATTTACTCACATTCTTTCATGCAGATGTTAACCAATCAGAAGTTGAGGACAGATTCCAGGTGGCTTCTGATTGGTTTTAATCTGTACGAAAAAATGTGAAAAAAATCAAAAGCGGTCACAGTTTTGGGCTCCTTGCTATAAAAGCATGTTTCAAATAATGTAATCTAGCTAGACCAATGAGCAATACAATATCCTGTTGTATTGATTTTGTCTTTGTAATTTTGAACTGTGTTAATTATACTGTTTTATGTATGCATGGGCCTGGAGTGATTCAGGCCACAGTTGTTGTAGTACTCCGTGCCAGACACTTTGTTTCTTTCTTTTAGAACAATAATTGTTTACGCTTTATTTCCCCCGACTTGTTGACTTACCCATGTATAAGTGGCTTATATCTAATGAAGAAAGGAAAATATGATAAAAATCCTGCAATAGTCTTTGCCAAAAAGTAAAATTTTGATCTTTATCAATGACCCTGACAGACAGAACTTGATTGGGTCAAATTTTATCTGCTGAATTTACCTGTTTAAACATCACTGAAACATCAGCTTGTCAGTCTTTTTATGTGGGTAAATTCAACAACTCACTACAGTTAACAAAATCGGCTTTATCAGCTCTCTACAATTTTATCCCCTTGATTTTCAACAGAAAATTTATGCTCTTTAAAAACATCAATCACACAAATAATATTGCAGCTTGTTTTTGGGGCAAGCAGCCCTTACAGCTTGCTTGCTTGTTTTAGTTAATTAAATTTTAAGATGATCTGCCTATACTGGACCCATGCACAATTGGCAAGTGAGCTTGAAAAGTTACAGGACAGGTTTTTTTTTCGACTTCTACTCTTGGCAGTATTGAAGAACTTACCTAAATGCAAAAATTTCCTGTTTTCGCATTGCGTATCCTGTTTTTTTTTTTCATTTAACTTTGTGTATATGAGATAGTTTGCTTGTTTGTTTGTTTTAATTTCCCTTTTCTCCTCTGGCTTCTTTTGCAACTGGCTTTTCTAGTGGTGTGACTATATATGTTAGAAGTGCAATCAATTGAACGGTCACGCCACCAAATTTAACTTTATGCGGGGTCCAGACAAGAATGACACATGACCTTGTGAGTAAAAGAGCTTTGGTAGGGTAAAATTTGGACAAGTGAAATTAAGCCTTGAAAGGATGATATAAGACTACATAGACTAGACGAAAGATGGGTTAATTGCCAAAGAGACATGACCAACTCCTCAAAACGAGAAACCACCTATACATACCCCCTAAGAGGCTGGCCTCGTAAAAAGCTGACAAAAAAATCAGAGTTCGTGAACTGAATGTCTATAGTAATATAATTTTATTTAGGAGGAAAAATGTACATTTTTTATTTTACTGACCAATAGAAACAATTTATTTATAATCACAATTTTCTTCTAGGCTGGTTGCCAGTGTATAAGTATTTGGATTTTTTTGATGCTGGCATTAGGGAAATCATTACAGCTGTTTTCAGATGCCAAACTTCACATGGTCTGGCTCTTATGCTAATTTAACAAAAACTATATATTTTGTTTTCCACTAGCACATGAGAAACTTCCTTGACATCTGAAACATGTCTTCCAAGCCAAGCTCTTGTTAAAATGAAAATAATGTTATTTTGAGTTGTCTGTTGTGGATGTATTATGTTCAAGATGAAAAAATGCTTGTGACAAATGCACAGGTGAAACTTGAATATTTAAGAAAGAGAATAATAAAATAATTAATTTCCTAAAAAGGCCAATTATTTCATTTTGTAAATCTTGAATCTTACGAAAACTCAAGCCTATTTTAATATATAGTGATTGAGGTGTCTAACACAGCTGAGGAAGGAATATTACATATAAGAAAAAACTTGTGGTTTAGATGACTTTTACATGACCTCAAATCGATATTTTTTTCAGGTCGCAAGTTCTGTTTGATTTTAAAATTAGGTGTCCAATCAACTTGACAGAGATGTGTACATAATTGCACCTGAAGCGGATTTGTCAAATAAAGAAGCGAAAACACGACAGATTTACCAAAACATGTAGTCAAAACATACAGCAAAATAAAGTGGTTTTTGGTCAATAAGGGTAAACGACCATTTTCCAAAAAACAGGGTTCCTTTTTTGGAACTTTCAATTGTTCATTTCAAGAATACAAAAAGGGCGTCGAGATAAAGAATAAACCACCGTATGTTAATTTGTAACAAGAAAAGTCAAGAGTAAACCTTGTTCAATGTACAAATTTTGATAGTAAAAAATTAACAAGTACATGAACATTTACCACAGGCTCGACTGAGCAATAATTAGTTATTCAGAAAGCGAGTCAGATATTGGTGAAAGGAAGTCTCTTCCTCATCTAATTTTAATGAATGGATACTTTAGGACAATAAGGGCTTAAAATAACGCCAGAAACATTGATTATTAAAACGTAGCAAGGTGGATAACTCATAAACTACATCGATCATTTGGTCCGAGTGCTCGCCTTTAAGCTTAAATCAGAGAGTTTTGTAATAAAACGTTCCAAAATGCAAGTACCGCTTCAATATTGTAAAAAATAAAATAAAATGAACATAAGGATCTTTGTAACGTCTTTCGTTGAAAATGACAAACGAAATACTGTATATTTTGGTTGTAAAAATAATGAGAGGCAGCCGATACGCCTACACTCTATTTGAAATCTGATCGCCGCAGCTTTGCAAGCACAAAGATCTATCTTCCCCCCTTTTCGCTCCACAGATACGGAGAATATCTGTGAACGTTTAACCTCGACACATCGTAGATTCCGGCTTTTTCCACTGACTGTCGGCCTCTGAGGCGTACTGTATTTAATACTCTCTGTCTGACAGTTTCCTTTCACTTACCGGCGGCAAGCAAAGTGAAATTGACCTCACTCGAAAAAGCCGCTGAAACTTACTCAATATGGCGATTAATTAAGGGCAAATCTTACCGTGAAACGCTTTGATTTCTCGGAACTCAACGTTTCTGAGTCAGGTACCGTTACATCTATCTGCTTGGACATCGCATTTGATGGGAAATGATGACTTCTGCCCGCTCAAAATGATCCAAAGTCTACGTGACAGATCGAAATGCAGGCAAGACTCAAAGCTGGGGAAGGTCTATTGCGTCGTTCCGCAGTAAAATGCGTGGGATGCCAGACAACCTACAAACAATGAACAACCTACAAAAGCCAGGTTCACCGTGAACCTACTTATCTGGGCGTCTATGGAACAATGGTTGTTCAGATGTGAAACGATGCTACCCTAGGAATACGTTTATGAATACAAAATTCCTATGTGACTTGTTTTTCTGTCCCCAGAGACTGGGGTCAGAAGCGAGTGTCATCTGTCACACGACGTAAGAATTTGATCACACAAGAGAATTGCTATGTTGATCAACTATTAACATTCAAAACTATTTGACTAGCTGCTCCCACACACAAACACTTTATTTTGCGGTTTGATGTTTTTGTTCTACCAGATGGAATCCGAAGCAAAGACAGAGACGAACGAAGCAGAATCTTCCCCAAACTGGCGAAGGAAAGAGTATGTAACGCAACGGTAGAATAGCCCGTGTACGGCCACGGGGTACGGTAGAAAGGAATGGAACTATTTCAAGAGCACAGCCAGGGAGAGTAGGCGTTTTCAAAATGAATTCAAGGTTTTTATTTTCATCATAACTAGATCTGTGTTGCATTCTTTTTTTCTTTTTTCAAAACCCCTTTTTTCCAAGAATTCCAAGCATTTGGGCATGCCCTTGCCCGTTAGCAGTACTTTATAACTTCTGTTAAGCTACGATATTTAATACCCTGCGAGCAGTGGTTTCGCTACGCGCGTCCGGCCTGGAGAAACCACTGCTCGCAGGGTTCGATATTGAAACAAGCTTCAACTTTCGAACAGGAAATCCCTTAAATGTGGCAAAAGTCAAACTGGCAAAGTAAACAAAGTGAAAAGCTGGCTGTGATATATAGGCATGACATCAAAATGTTTGACAGTGGTGTTTAAATAGCCTGTAAACAGAAGCTGTTTTATTTTTCTTTTCGTTCTTTTCAAAAACATCGGCGAGCTCGCGGGCGGAGCGTGAGAAAGAAAAATAAGAATTTTCCTCTTCCCCCACCACTACCCACTTGCGCCGGCGGTCAATAACTCACCTGCGGTATATATTTTATCACCTGTGCTCGACGGACTTTGAAGAGAAAATAGACGNTGTGTTGCATTCTTTTTTTCTTTTTTCAAAACCCCTTTTTTCCAAGAATTCCAAGCATTTGGGCATGCCCTTGCCCGTTAGCAGTACTTTATAACTTCTGTTAAGCTACGATATTTAATACCCTGCGAGCAGTGGTTTCGCTACGCGCGTCCGGCCTGGAGAAACCACTGCTCGCAGGGTTCGATATTGAAACAAGCTTCAACTTTCGAACAGGAAATCCCTTAAATGTGGCAAAAGTCAAATTGGCAAAGTAAACAAAGTGAAAAGCTGGCTGTGATATATAGGCATGACATCAAAATGTTTGACAGTGGTGTTTAAATAGCCTGTAAACAGAAGCTGTTTTATTTTCTTTTCGTTCTTTTCAAAAACATCGGCGAGCTCGCGGGAGGAGCGTGAGAAAGAAAAATAAGAATTTTCCTCTTCCCCCACCACTACCCACTTGCGCCGGCGGTCAATAACTCACCTGCGGTATATATTTTATCACCTGTGCTCGACGGACTTTGAAGAGAAAATAGACGGTCTATCATCAGGCTAGTGTTTTTTCAAAAAGTGAATATCAATCAAGCACCGAACGCCGAGCCTGAACTCAATATTTTCAATATTTTAGAAATGCAACTGAAACGAAAAAAGTGAAAAAATTATATCCGTTCTTTTGGTATGTTGCTGTTTGCTTGCTCTCCCTAATCTTCCTCCGTCCGTAACATCAAAGATGGCGGTTACCGGGGGCGGTTAGGAGTACAAACGCAAACAAGCAGCTTTCGCCCAACCAAAATACGCCTGCAATGCAGGTTACTGTTTGCTTTATTTTATTAACTTCTGTTACTGGTTTTTAGCCAAAATATAGTTGTCTTTTAATTTTTTCTCCATGATAACCTCATTCGCCCGCCCAGCCAACACACAAACTAAATTGACATCCACATCTCAGACCTCTCCGCATCTTCTCCGCATCCCTATAACGTCAAAACTTGGTTGGTTATACTCGCTTTTTCTTTGGTAAAAGGAAGTATAATTAAACTTTTTAAAATTGTACAAGAAGTGCTGCCGTTATTTTTTTAACAAACTGACCACGATTTATAAAATAAAGTTTTCTTTGGCGAGGAGGGGGCGGGGTGGCGGACGGATAAGCCTGGGGCAGTGGTGAGAGCAATCGCCTCTCACCAATGTGGCCCAGAATTAGGCGTTGACGTCATATTTTTTTGAGTTTTTTTTCTCCAGGTACTCCGGGTTTTTTCTCACCTTAAAAACCCACATTTCCAAATTCCAATTCTACCGGCGACCTAACCTGCGATGAGGCGTTTTTGTCTCCCTCGTCTCCAAAACAAAAAAGAAAAAGGACCGCCTGATCGCAGGTTAACGGCGACCAAGTAGTACATGTAGACGAAGAATTCCAGGAACCTCAACAAAACGCGTACGAAGGACGAAGGGACTGGCAAAATTTTGTCGCTATAACCAGGTTCTTTTCCAAGTATTTTACTATTCGGCTGGGGTAAAGAAAATCATTCGTTATACCGAGGACTTCGTTACATAGAGGTTAGTTATATCGAGGTTCGTTATATCGAGGTTTCACAGTTGAGTAAATCGTTTTTTAAGTTTTATCTACTGGACTTCCAGGCTCTTTATCTTTGGGATCGGTGTGAGATCTCCTCGGATAGGAGAAGGGTTGGGGGCAGGGGGTACGATCACTGAATACCCTAATAATGGCCCAACACTGCACTCATCCAAGAACAAAAGCTGAATCGCTGCCACGGTTGTGCTATTCAACACCCAAGTCAAAACCAACATTCTTGCCTGATGATGGATAATGATGACGCATGGATGTATTACCATGATGAAGTGGTGGAACAAATTGACCTCAATGTTATCTTAAAAACGGCTGAAAGTGTGTGCAGTGCTCTTGGTTTCAAACTTGGCAAAACGTGGGAAGCGTACGTGACCGAATTACCAAAGCTGCCTTGGACTAACATCTATCTCACTTCCTTGGAACTCGAAGATTATGGTGAGTTAGAAGATCGAATTCTGTATGCTATTTACTACGGACCTT